GGGTGGGTGGGTGGGTGGGTGGTTTTCTGAGTTCTCTCTTAGCACATTTCTGCATTGCTGTCTGTCCTTCGTTGTGCCTCGTTTGTCTCTGCCGTTCCCGCTTGCTTTCTTGCTTTCGTTATAACTTGACTTGTGTATGTCTTTATTGCTTGGTTGCTTGTGTATTTAGTTGTTGCTGTCCTTGCCTATTTCGTTATTCTGTTTTCCCTGATTTAATTCCTTACCTTCATGTGTCGTTCTTATTTCTGACTTTGTGTTGCTCGTTCTTTCTGTCTTTCTTCTGTTCCTTTTGATTCGCTCCTTCTTGATTAGTTCTTGCCTTCATCATTTCTTTTTCATGTCGTTCGTTCACCTTTCTGAATGTAGAGTTGAACCTGCCTTCTCTTTTGTTGGCTCACTACTCTGTCTTTTCTATTAATCTTGTTGAGTTTTGGCATGCTTATTGATTTTTTGGTATTTGTTGATTGCTCTTCCACGCTTAGGCTCGCTTGACAGATTGATGTGCAAACAGACATGCCTGTGAACGCCAGCTGCAGAAGCTTCGGCATACACACACACACACACACATGCTGCTTCAAGCTGCATCTATCGGAATGTAGACGAAGCATGAGTCAAGATGGGAAGAGATTACGAGTTCGGGAGTTTCGGACACCTGGATTGAAGCTGGAGAGACTGGCGAAATCCAAGCAAAAAAACAAGCTCTCTGCTACGAGAGAGTGCTTTTCCTCTTGCTCTGGGTCTCTTCGAAGGGGATGTTTGTTTCGGAGCTTGTGGTATCTTTCGATATCGCTCTGTCAGAAATTAGAGGGGTTGGCCTGCTTTTGACTTTCGATCCAGCAGATTACGACATTCCTCGCTTCTCTGAGATTCAGACAACTTTTGGGTCTCTTATGCCAACACCCAGGGGTTCGCAGCAATGAACTGCGCTTACCCACTTAATTCCACTTACTTGGGGCTCTTCCTTGTAGTCTGTTGCATTTACACATGCCTTTAGTCCCGTTCGCTATCCTGTATCTGACGCATCAACCAGAAAAAGACCAGCACGTCGTCGGGACATCCACAAATGTGCGCATACCCTTAACCTCCTTGAGATACCCGAGCCTGCAGGCGGCACTCGTGCCCGATGTTGCCGCCGCTTGCAACAAACGACTCCCTAAGCTCGGCTCTGCACGTGGGTTACTGCCTGGATACCAGAGAGAGCGGGTGCTCGGGGGCCTAAGTGGTTCGGGTTGTGGGTTCGTTGGGGATCATGTGCTGAGCTTCGGTTGCTTTCGTTTTCGTTCTACGTACTCCGGGCAAGCATGTAGTCACGCATCTCACTGAGAGGATGCTTCGGTCTTGAGAAGCCTGATACAAGCTTTGCTCTTGTGGCTCTTCGGGCTCTGTGAGCCTTGATCAAGGCAGCGCATCGGAAAAAAAGCTCAGGCAAAAAACCGGCAAGGGCAGAGAGACCGAAGAATGCTGCACAAAGCAACACCAGCCCCATGGCGCCTTCGGGTGCCTCCTGAGCCAGCTCCTGGTCAACATTTTGCTAAATACTTTCTGGCGCGTTACAGAGGGCATGGGTGACGGCTGGTCAAACTGCAAGGTCCTCCTTCTGGTGACCCTCGGCAAAGGCATCAGCGGTGCTGACTGCACCTTCATGCAGCCCCTAAAGTAGAGAAAACTCTGCTGCCACGGTGTGCCGCTGAAACCCCGCAAGCTGCACCCTGCTAGTTCTGCTATGCATTCTGGGCGGCGCAGCTTGCACCGGCAAGACGTATCAAGCTTCGACTAAGACTAAGACTGCTTGCAACGAACGTAAACTCACACGAGTTCACAACCCTGGCAACCAAGATTGCCTCATGCTCAACCGCCAACGGCCTAGCCACTCAGGGACCTCAGGAGGAGAACCGATGGAGAAGCACTAACCCTGAAGAATTACGTACTCAGAACACTCTGAAGAACTGAAGAACCAGCAAGTTGCAGGACTCCGACATTACATGTAACAAGTCATTACATTGTTGGGAGAAACCAACACACGTTTCCAAGAGGGTTCCTGTACAGGAAGCGCCCAGAACCTACAATCGTGTCTCTTGCACCTCCAGCTGTGAAGTTGAGGCCCTCCTCGGAGGCCTAACGAGGAATCTCAGGGACAGTGCGGATGTTGGCTTCGTCGTGTTTTGTGTTGTCTAGGGGCTCTTCCAGCATCACAATGCTCTGCAAAAGAAGTCGAAATAACTAATTACTTGCGTCAGGCGCATATAGCTCCGGCCGTGTGGCAGAGGAATCTGGAATTCATCGCGGAGCATGCACACCCGAAGTGGGAAAGCCAGCTCAAGCTGCGAACATAACACAACATCCCTTGTCGTGGCATCGCGCGTCGTCCCGGCAATGACAACCCTTGTCAGGCCTTGAACGGAGACCAAACCCTAAGTTGCTATAAATGCCTCACAGGCAGTCAGGAATCTGCGAGAGCGTGGCGTAGGTGAGACGAACAGGTGGCCCGTGCCTTGCGGCGTTGGCGCTCCAACAGACCTCAGGCAAGAAACAACTTCTGCGTTCACAGTCATCATGGCATGTTCTTGTAGTTTCCCCTTCCTGGTCTGGCGGTCGCTTCTGCGTGGAAGAGGGAGATTAGCCAAAACCCGCTCCCTGGATGCTCGAGTTTGCATCCAGATCTCGATTGGCACAAAAGGCAAAGAAAAACAACCTGATTCAATGGCTTTGTGTTTGCACCTCAATCGGAAGCACAAAGAGATCCCAGTAAAGCCTGGAATAGTCACCTCAGGATCAAAATCATGATGGCGCGATCTTCACAGTACTGTCTTCTCAATATTGTGCAGAACTGCGAGCAGATCTCCTTGAAGCCTATTCATCCTGGCAAGTGGCAATGGTGCATCTGCCGGTCTGATGGCTTCGGTCTGTCCTACTTGTCATCAACATGCGGCGTCAGCTCATTGACGAGAACTGCTCCATGTCCGCATCGAGATCAGCGGAATCCAAGCATTTTAACTCCCCTGTCCGCCCTCACTTGCACTGTCTGTGCCCCTTCACGACCACTCCTACCGAAGGAATCTCGCTCAAGCATCGGTGTTCCACTGACTGAGCTGAGTCAGCAAATCCATTCGCGAAATGTTGCATCGCCACGCTTGAGGGTACTGTGTCCCCGAACGGCATCCTTGCACTACGGAGACGCAGCCTCGATGAACAGAGAGAGAGAGAGAGGGAGACAAAGAGAGAGAAGGAGAGAGGAAGAGAGAGCGAGAAAGACAGAGAGACCCCAAACCGTTTAGGGATGCTTGTCAACTGTGATCTCCTGCAAAGAGAAACAACCATACACACACACACACACACAGATCCCTAAACCGCAAGCCCTGAACCCCTTAAAGATTAAATGATTAAAACCTAAATCCCCAAACGCTAACCCGCTGAACCTTAAACCCAAACCCCCTAGACCCCGAACCCTAAACCCTTACAGCCTAAACCGCTGAAGCTAGAAACCCTTAACCCTTAATTTCAAATCCTTAACCCCGATGATATAAGGGCTTTAATGATAGTTAAAACAATCTTATGTCCACTATAGTACCGCAATCTTAAGGAACCTGAGGAACAGTATTGGTAATTGATCCGGTCTCTATATTACGCCCAAAAGGTGTGTGGGCTGCCTGTATTGCGTTCACCTTGATCTCCGTCACTGTATCCGGCGACGCTACCCGGTACAGCACATTCAGCACCTATGGTTTAGGTCTTGGGGCTTAAGGTTCAGAGTTCGGGGTTTAGGGTTGGATGCTGTGGGTGTTGCAGTTGTCGGGCTTAATCTAACGGCCGAAAGAACTTTGATGGGATGCCTACGGCCTATGGAGGTTCCCAAAGTGTCTTTAATCTTAGGGGGTTCGGGCTTAGGGTTTCGGGTTTAGGGTTTTAGGGTTAGGGTTGAGGGATGCTACTAGAATTCACAATACAACTACACAGGAGCTGCAAGAAAAAACCTATCAAATGCACCATGCTAAAAACCAATTGTCCTTGAAACCGACTGTTAAAGGGCTCAGTCATCTGAATCATAAAGCCATGGTAACACTCTACACAACATCCAAAGCCCTCATCAAACCCTTACAACCCCGTCTACAGAACCCTAAACCCTAAACCCTAAACCCTAAACCCGTTAAACCCAAAAAACTAAACCCCACGTCAGTGAAAAAGCTGACTAAACCCAAGAAAGCGACTGCCAAACCTGTGGTTCAGCGTTTAGGGTTTAGGGTTTAGGGCCTCAGGCGTTTAGGGTCAAGGGTTTAGGGTCCTTTGCCGAGCCCTCAACTCGAAACCTTGCAACCCTAAACCCGAACCCGAAACCTAATGTAAGGGCCCTAATAATGAGAATAGGGTCTGGGGCCCATTATATTAAAAATATAATGAGGACCCCCCCCCCCACCCCCCAATAGTATTGGTAATTATTTGGGCCCCTATATTAATCTTAACCCTTCACCACACCCCCAAACCTCCAAGCCAAGCTTTTCTAATCCGAAGATCTTCAGTTTGTTCAGGTTGAGTTTAGGGTTTAGGGCTTAGGGCTTCAAGGGTTTGGGGCTTAGGTCTCAGGGTTTGCCGTTTTGGGCTCAGGGTTAGAGTTTAGGGCTCAGGGATTAGGGTTCAGGGCTTTGGGCTTACAGTGTTTCGGATTTAGGCCTTACCTCCTGGACTAAAAGGGCAAGCCGCTTGAAACCCTTCTAGCTCTTACCCCTACACCCGACGCCTCTGCGTAAGACTTTTGAAACACCCCAAAGAATCCGAAACGTTACCTCCGAAACACATATGCGAGCCTTTGCTAGGCCCGTCAAGTGCCAGTTACAAGCCCTGAACCCCGACACCGCGAAGGCCGAAACCCTCCTAAACCCTAAACCCTCAGCCCGGAACCCTAGGCCCTAAACCCAAAAACCTCAACCCTGAACCCTAAACCAACAGGCTGCAAGGGCCTCTTCGAAGAGGACTTCCACCTGATTCCATGAGGAGGTTTAGGGGTCAGGGTGTGTAGATAGGTGGTCTAGCCTTTCGGCTTAGGGTTTAGGGTTTAGGGTTTAGGGCTTCAGAGGTTGGTGCATTGTTCGGATGGCTTCTGAAGTGCCTCGGCTGAGTGTCGTGTTGAGTTGGTTTCCCAAGGGCCCTTGCAAAGGCGTGTTCTCAAAGCAACAACTCTACGAGTAAATCCGTTCAGGGGCCAGGGGTACGGGGTTTCCGGGCGTGGAAACTTCTCAGCTTGGGAGGGCATCCCCCAAAATCACATAAGCAAGAACGGTGGATAAGCCTCAACCCTAAACTCGACTCTACTCTAATCTGAGCCCGTCAGTCTAAACCAGTCGGCAAGCTGGGAAGCTTATGTGAAACTCACTTACTTGCCCATTCCCAAACCCGAAACCAAGAATGCAAAATCGTAACTTATGCCGCTAGCCTCAAGACTCCCCCACCCCCGCCAACCACACCCTAAACCCTAAACC